AAGAAGAAAGAAAGAAAGAAAGAAAGAAAGAAAGAAAGAAAGAAAGAAAGAAGAAAGAAAGAAGAAAGAAAAAGAGAAAGAGAAGGAAGGAAGGAAGGAAGGAAGGAAGGAAGGAAGGAAGGAAGGAAGGAAGGAAGGAAGGAAGGAAGGAAAGGTTGACTGAAAGGGAGGGGTCCAGAGAATGAAGCCTATGAGCCAGGTTAGAGGAGGTGGGAAGGAGAATCTCCACCCTTCATGGAGCCCTCTAGGAGAGGCTGGTTGAGCCCCAGGGAGGAACCTGAGCACTGGGCAGGGAGGACACCTCTGGTGAGGTCATTTCTACAGAGGTGCCAGGGCTGAGAGCCACGGAACATGCCAGGCCCTGATACCAGCTTTACATGCCGACTCCAGCCAGGACCTACCTTTCCAACTTGATGCATTGCCTGGCTCCCTCCAGTCCCTCTACCTCTTCTCTCTCCTACACCAGGTACTTCAGAGGCTCATCAAGTCGCGGGGGAAGTCTCAGTCCAAACACCTCAACGTTCAGATAGCAGCCTCGGAGAAGCTGGCACAGTGTCCCCCTGTGAGTGTGCCAATCCCGGAGAAGGGAAGGGAGGGAGGACGTTTGGGTTCTCCTGGTTTCTTCTGGTCTGCGTGGGACACAGAGTGACCAGAACACCTGGGCCGGTCTGTAGGTATAGACAGGTCTGGAGGGAGAATCTTGGTCAGGCAGTCAGAGACTGGGTTCAAGCCCCAGAAGCATTTCTTCTCAGTGGGGAGCTCAGTCCCCTCCCCTCTTATAGCCTCGGCTTCCTTCTCTAGAATGAAGGAGTTGGACTGCCTGAGCGCCAACACCTCTTGCAGTTCTGCCACTCTGTAGATCTGAGAGTTCTCCTTCCCTCCCTCCACGGTCAGAGGCCTCTTTTAACCTTGTCCTTCAACCCTTTGACTCCACCCACGGCACCCAGGCCACACCCTCTACCCTTGGTCACGCCCCCTGCTCATCCCAGCCCTGCCTCCTAACCCCGCCTCCACAGGAAATGTTTGATATCATCCTGGACGAGAACCAACTGGAGGATGCCTGCGAGCACTTGGCAGAGTACTTGGAAGCCTATTGGAAGGCCACACACCCGCCCAGCAGCACGCCGCCCAATCCGCTGCTGAACGGCACCATGGCTACTGCAGCCCTGGCTTCCAGCCCTGCCCCTGTCTCCAACCTCCAGGTACAGGTGCTCACCTCGCTCAGGAGAAACCTCAGCTTCTGGGGCGGGCTGGAGGCCCCTCAGCGGGGCGGCGGCGCGGTGCCCCAGCAGCAGGAGCACGCTATGTAGTGGGCGCCCCCGCCCGTCTTCCCTCCACCCAGGACTCGGAACTGGAGTAGGGAACTGGGGGAACAGAGAGAAGAGCTTTATTTTGTAAAAAATGTGAGCAGCAGTTTCTGGTGTCTGTGGTTTTTGATGGGACTGGGGCTGGCTGGGGCTGCCTCCCTGGGCTTGGTAACATAGGACTGCATCTGTTGGATGTGAGGCCCGAGTGGGACCCGTGTAGAACAAGGGACTAGGGAGAAAATACGAGTACAACTGAGCTCACTCGCTGGCCTGAGCTCGCTTGCTGGACTGCACACCTCTATTAGTGCAAAGAGCAGGGCCCTCAAACCCAGAAAACCTACCGACCTGGGGAAGTGCCGAGACTGAGACTTTCCAGAGTCCCACCTCAGGAGGGACCCAGAATATAGCTTCTTCTATGAGTTGGTACCCTCCACTCTTCACCAGTTACGTAAAGAAAGGCCTTCCTGTGGGTGCCCCTTCCTGCCTCACCCTCCTCCCAGGGGAGCTGCAGCCCATCTTTGAGACCACAGCATGAAGTGACTAGAGCCAGAAGAAACCCATATGAGATCATTCTAGGCTGTGGCTTTTCAAGTTCACTGAATCTTACATGGAAGCCAAATATATAGATAAAGCAACCTTCCTCTGCTCAGGGTGAGCTGGGGGCTTGACCCCTTTACCTCCATGAGGAATTTTGAAGAACTTCTGTTTCCTCTCCACCCCACCCCAGATCTCCAGGGAGTAGTCTGGAAATTGCTGCTCTAGTCTAATCCCCAGCACAACAACCTGGGTCACACAGCGGGGGCGGGGTGGGTGGGGGTGTGTGTGTCATTTGCTCAGGGGTCACACAGCTTAAAGTGGCAGGGGTGGAACTAGAATCGGGCATCTCTGTGCATCGCCCCCCCCACCCTTGGTGACAGTGGCCGTCAGCTTACTTTCACATGCCACTTGGTAATGAGGACACTGGGCTACCTCATCATTCATAGCCTGCTATGGGGATAGGCAAGGGATCCCATCTACCTTGGAGGCTCATCTGACCAGGATGTGGGGGAGAAGGTGGGTATCTAGAAGCCTATAACTGGGGTCTGGCATGGGCTGAAGAAGCTGGGGTCAGTGAGTCTGAGCTGAAATCCCCTCTTAATTGGAAAACCAAAGGTGATGACTAACCCAATCAGCCACTAAGGAGGAGCAGTACTAGAGCTGCTAATGATGATTAACCCCAGGTAGCATTAATGACATGCAGTGAGGAAGTGGCTAATTGCCCATGGGCTCTCCATCCTGGTTACCATGAGAACTCATGGCATCTGCACATCTTAGGAAGGTGGGAGCCCCTTGTCCCAGCCCGGGAGCAAATGCCCTGACATCTGACCTCCGTCCGACCTTGGGAGCCATTTGCCTGGGCGGGTACCCTAGTCAGCAGCCTCCTACTTCAGCCAGGCCCGGTGTCGTTGTGCTGTCACTAACCTGCTTGCTTTGTTGTGTTTTTCTCACCCCTGCCTGATCTGCATGGTGTGTGCCGTCTGTCTGCTAACCAGGGACCCTACCTTGCTTCCGGGGACCAGCCGCTGGAACGGGCCACCGGGGAGCACGCCAGCGTGCACGAATACCCGGGGGAGCTGGGCCAGCCCCCAGGCCTTTACCCCAGCAGCCACCCACCGGGCCGGGCAGGCACCCTGCGGGCGCTGTCCCGCCAAGACACGTTTGATGCCGACACCCCCGGCAGCCGAAACTCTGCCTACACGGAGCTGGGAGACTCGTGTGTGGACATGGAGACCGACCCCTCAGAGGGGCCAGGGCTTGGAGACCCTGTGGGGGGCGGCACCCCACCAGCCCGACAGGGCTCCTGGGAGGATGAGGAAGACTATGAGGAGGAGCTGACCGACAACCGGAACCGGGGCCGGAATAAGGCCCGCTACTGCGCTGAGGGTGGGACTCCAGCTCTGGGGCGCAACAAGAATGAGCTGGAGGGCTGGGGACGAGGCGTCTACATCCGCTGAGAAGAGGGGCCCCCGCTGTGGGAGGGCAGAGGGGCTCACCACCCGAGATGTGTGCTGCCTCCAGGGGGCGCCGTCTCCCTCCTCTCAGATGCCTTCGCGACGCAGTGTTTGGCTGGTATCGCCGCAGCTTCTGGGAGGCCCTCATGGCCAGCCGCAGGTTTTTACCTGCCTGCTGTGGATGGATGGGGGGATACCCACCTTTCTGAAGTGTCCCCTTTTCCCCATCTCAGGGGGCTCTTCTCCCAGAGAAAAGGTGCACTTCCTTAACTTTCTATTCCGGCCTCTAAGTGAGGGCCACAAATGGGGCGGCCCTTCTCGCACCCTGGAGTGTTTGGGAAGGGTTGGGCGCTTTCCCCAAGGTGGCTCTCTTTCCCAAACCCCAGATCCACCGTCCCTTACCAGGTCCGCCCCCCAGCTTCCTGGCAGCATTGTCTGGTGGGTGAAGGCCCCGAAGTGTGGAATCCCGGGGGGGGAAGCAGCTGGTCTCAAGGAGGGCTCTGGGTGGAAATGAAGGCATCAGGTGAGGCCCCCTTCGTCCTCAGTAGCCACCGCAATGCAGGGCCCAGAGCCCTGAGAAGTGGACCACCCTGGACACTGCTACCCACCCACCACTTCCATACCTCGGCCTTCATCTGCCCCAGGAATGAGCTTGCCTCTGACATTCCCTGCCTGCTGCTGTCAGAAGAGGGCCCCCCCTGCATCTGAGCTCCCCTGACCCCGCCCCTGTGCTACCTGGGTGTGGAGCCCATGGGACAGTGGTCTGCCTCATTTTAAACCAAAAAACTGCTCCTTCACCCTCACCGTGAGGCCCCAGGGGTGAGGCCTGGGGGTTGGTGCCCCAGTGGTACCCACCATCCCAGGGGTCACTTCAGGACTTTGGACCTCCCCTGGGGCCTCAGCTGCTGCTACTGCTGCTCTGTATTCACCTCTTGTGATCCTGTCCTTCACCCGAGTCCACTTCCTCCAGGACAGGCTGCGGTTCCCCTTCTCCCCTGGGGTACCCTCTGCCTCAGCACCCCTACAGCCCAGCGCCCCTGACCCTCCTCAGCACCCCAGCTGGGCCGGAGAGAGCCGATTGTGCCAACGAGGACTGGGCCCTGCCCGGCTGCCCGCCTCAGGGATGGGCACCTCACGCCTGTCTCACAACCTCCTGTGCCAATGTTTTCCCACCCCCTGGGTGGGTGCAGCTTCCTCTTACTGGTTAGAAGTCCTATGCCTCCATCTGTCGTTTGTCTGTCTGTACTCCCCTAGGAGAAGTATTTTGCCACATATAAAATCGCCATCTTGTCCTTTGCGGCCGTCTCCCAAGCCTGCTTCTTTGTTCCCACCACATGATAGTCGCTCCCGGGGCACTAGGCACGTGGAGCTGCCGACGCAGGGGCAGCAAAGGTGGGTGCTGCGTAAGCTCGCCCGAGCTGTCCTGCAGCTGCGGTCGTCCCTTCAAGGCTCAGCAGG